AATACACACATGAAATTGATTAAATTGAAAATGAACAAAGCTAGCAAACCAAACCTTAAAAATGTAAGACACCCCAGGTATAGCATATCGTACACCAATAGGAAGGGTCTATATTCCAAATTTCCAGAAATGGAACTCCATCTTCTTCATTTTAAGCCTAACCTCCAGCTTCTGTCTGAAACAGGTATCAATGCCTCAATCCCACTACAGGGGCATAAAATCCTGGGCTAGTCACCCATAAAAACAAAACATGACCACATACATTGCCACACTCATGCACCCGGAGCCTACATCAATGATGGGTTTCCCCATGGGAGGGACACAAAAAACGAGGAACCTAATCTCCCATATATGTACTTCTGCATGGCCTATTCATAGTACTGCTTTTGTGTTTGCTATCATCCTCAGAATGATGGAACAGTCATTTTCGATCAAATATCTAAAAGGATTAATAATATCCTCACTGAAATTCCCTTGTCTAGCATTCATATCCACCATAAAAAGTGGTTAGTTCACTCAAACAAAACCGATGAAGAAGACAGATATTGTACAGACTTTTTCATCACCTATGAACTAACCCAGATCATCAAAGAATCCACCTGTGGTTTGGACATAACAGAACACTAGGTGAACCTTGAGCTTTTTCTAACATTCTGCCCTGATAAATGCTTAGCAAAAGTTTTACCCCTCTAGCCACCTCAGACTATTCTCTAGTCAATGTCCAGTTTGAGGCCAAACCAAGGACATTCCCTGATTTACCATTCCATAGAATGATGTTTTGCTACATGAAAGTAGACTGAGACAGCCTTCAGTTCAATATGATGGAAGCTCCTCTCTCAACCCCTTTTCAAGCACACCCTTCACTTCAAACTTAACGTTAGATGATAAAGGCCATCCCCTCCCCAATTTCCCATGACTCACTGAGCACAATTTCAGAAATATCTTCATTTCAGCATGAAAAATGCTTAGATCCTAAGAGAGCCATTAGCCCAGAAAAATTCCAGTGGTTAAGAATAACAACATGGATTATCCCCAATCCTAGCAAAGTTATTCAACCACTGCTTGAAAGAGAAAAACCTTTACAAGCCTGTGAAAGGAGTTAAGGGTATTCCCAGTCTTCAAGAACACAAGAGAGCGATCGTTCTGACATCCCCCACAAATAAACAAATCAGTCTCAGTACCATCAGTAACCTTTTTGAGTGTATAATCAACAAGGTCATCAAGCACCTAAATGGGAACAACCTCTGACAAGTTCTGAACGACCTGATCCAATGCAGACCTCTTAACTACTGTTACACACAGTTTGTGAAGTTCTTAACAACACACCTCAAAGACCGTACCATTAAATATTTTGAAGGCCTTTGACAAGGTGTGGTACAAAGGCTTGCCATACAAGCTCTCCAGCTATGGAATCACTGGAAGGGTCTTCTCAATTATAAAATCCTTAAGTTAGATCCCTGAAGGTAGTTAGTCCTCCAGAGTTCTGACAGTCAATACAGGTGGCTCCAAGTGGTTGCTTCTCAGACCAACCCCTTTTGATTTACATAAATGATCTGCCTCATAATATATTCAGATCAGTTGTAAGCAACTATGTTGATGATACAATGCTATACAAAGATTGGCAGCTGATCTTTCTTCTGTGGGAAAAAAAAATAGCTGGTTACATTCAATGCCTAAAAAACCAAATTAGTTACATTCTATCACTGCCGATTGGACCATGAACTACCACCAATCATAATGAATGAATGTCTCCTCGAGGAGGCATCATGCCTTAAGACTATTGGGCCTTAAACTCACACCTGGCATCAGGCGGAACTCATACATATGATCCATTGCTAAAGATGCAGGTAAAATAGTCAGCTTCCTGTATCACTCTAGAAAGTAGCTGACTCCTTATGCTATCCTCTACCTTTCCAAGAGCCAGATCAGACTGAAAATTAAGTACTGTCATCATATTTGAGCAGGAGCTGCTCAGTCCTCACTTTCCAGTCTTGATTCAGTCTTGATCTTGAGTTCAAAAATCTCAAGAGTCCTTGTGGGTAACAAATTATTTTCCACCCTCTCTCTCATAAGAGAGATATGGTGAGCCTCTCACTGCTTTATAGCTACTTCCATGGAAAGTGCTCAGGCAAACTACATTCATTAGTTCTGCCAGGTGTAATCTTCATGAGTAGGACCTGCCATGCCACTTACACTGAAGAAACCACCCACATTTCCACCATATTCCACCAGGGAGAAGTTCCACTCGAACATCTTCTCATATCTCGCCTGCACATGAATCCTGGTTGAAAGTTGCCACTGTCCAGTAATCACATGCATAAAAAAGTGGCTGCAGTTTTGTCTCATAGATGGTAATCTTAACTTTACATAGCACATGATTATCCTTGAGTAGTGAGTAGAGTATTCCAACATTGTTACTGTCATTCATGGCTGTTTCCTTCTCAGTGCTGCTGTTGAAAACTGCACTGAGGTATTTATGCAATCTGGCAAATTGTGGTTTGTAATGGTCGAGATATCTGAGACTGTTATCACTTTGAACATTTCTAAGTTACCCCGGAGTTCTTGACAAGATCCAGAGACGGATATGTAATATAATTGGCCCTGATCTGGCGTCTCGTCTACAGTCACTCTCTCACAGACACGCCGTCGCCTCTCTCTGTCTTTTCTACAAATACTTTCATGGTAATTGCTCCGATGAGCTGCTTTCACTGGTTCCCAGACTCCATGAATTCAAGTGCCCTACGAGGCTGGCATCCCGTTCCCACCCTTACACTGTAGAAACTTTTAAATGTAGCCGTCTCTTCTACTCCAATAGCTTCATACCTCGCACCTCTCGCCTGTGGAACACTCTTTCCAATTACTGTTTCCCTGAGAGCTATAATCTCCAATTATTCAAATGTAATGTTAATCGACACCTCCAGTTAACTTGATCTACCCACTATCCTTCCCATCCTTTCTTCTATCACTCCTATCTGCTCTCACTCCAAATCTTCTGCAACCCCCTGCATCCTAGTGGCTTCACACCTTGCTCGAGGCATAATGCTTAAAAAAAAAAAAAAAAAAAAAAAAGAAAAAAGTACAGCATGAGGACATGGTCATGAAGCACACTATACCAAACACTGAGTAATTATTCCAAAGGTTAGCCTAACATCATCAGCATTGAGCAGGTCAATACTCCATCCATCCTATTCAAGGTATGACTTCACTGACTTCAACACTGTGGGTCCATCATCAGGATAAAGAGCAGAGGGGAAAGGATACTTCTTTGTTGTACTCACTTTTTGATGTCAAACCAGATCTCTTCAACATTAAGAATGCTATCAACCCTAACATTAATGTTAGGTACGACTACTTGCTTTTCTTGAACATTAATTGGATGATCTGGTGGAGCTGTATGGAGATAAGTTACTGTTTTCCCCAAGATATTCCAGAGCTTGTTCAGTATCTAGAAATGCTAAGTATGGCACAGTGTTTGTAATTTATGAACTTTTAAAACTTACCCAAGGGAGATAAATCATATAGAATCAAATTTCCATATTCTTTTGATAATCTAAAAATAGATTAAAACCTACCTTCTGTTCCGAAGTTTCTCAAGTAGAATGAGTTAAAGAAATATCAACGTATTTAATAACGACTAACTGTAAGAGTATTCAACAATCATCTATTCTCAAATTTATACTTCATTTTCCAAAGCTTTAAACTCTCAAAGGCAAATGTTGGTGCAACAACATTGCATGTGATGTTTCTGCAGTTTTATTTGCAAGTAGGTTTTACAAAATGGAGTTACTAACTCCTTCTTGGTTAAACAGTCTGAATTCAGGCTTTTTAGGCTACTTGCCACCCAATGCTAAAGAACCTATTCTGCACCTTTTATTCATAGCTTGGAAAGACAAAAGAATAGTTGTATCTTTCCCAAGAGCATAACTATCTCAGACAGAATTTGAACCCAGCCCACTAGTTCCATTTTCATCACTATTATACATGAACCCCCTCCCCCACCAAACACCTTCACAGATTGTTACTTCATCTTTCAATGCAACTAAAATATATTTGAAATTCTAAATAATATAATGGGGAAATCATGAAAATATCTCCAATAGATGCATGATACCTTTAAAATACAGAAGCTCTGATTTTCAAGAGTGTGTTATTCTTGCCAAGGAAAAAAATATTAGAGTAAGCCTCTATAAATATATTACTGATTAATACAGACTTTTTAATTTAAAATTTTTTGTAAATTGTACTTAGATCTTTTAGTGACTATAAAACAGGGTGAAGTAGAAATATCTCCTATGTACATTTCTCACAGATGAAAACACCATTGTCACTAATGTCTTACCATTATGTGGGAGGTATTTCTGCCACACCTTGTATATAATAATATAAGTATTTTTCATTGTACTCAAAGAGAAGGCCACAGTATCACATGTTGTCCATGTCAACATTCTACAAGATTGTTTAGTGCCTACAGACATTCAAAGTGATGACATTGAGACATGGACCAATTACTTTCTCAAAATGATGCCGATTTAGCAATACAAGTATGGACACACACTGAAAATAAGGAAAAGTTTTTTATATTCTATATATTTTTTAATAATTCAAAAATATTTTTAGAAAAATTACATAATTTTTTTTATTTCATCTGCAAGAATCTTTCAAAGAAAATTTCCAATCCACATCAAATTCTGGAGATGAAGCTAAGTTTACAATCAACAAGGATGCCATAATTTTTTGTCCATAAAATGATTTTTCAACACTGCAGGTACAGTATAGTTTATACAATCAAAATTTTCTGGAATACAAATGAAAACTCATTCATTTTCAAGTTGTAGGTATAATCCCATCACCCTAATAATATCATTCAATGTTTAATCACTTCAAATTTAATAAATTATTTCTTTTTAACTTGATTTTTTTCTCAATATATTTAGAATTTAATTCCCATAATTATTTTCATCTCTTATCCTTAATTGAAAAGTTGAAAAAAATAAATTCTATTATAGTTCAATGTCATCAGCATCATATTTGACACCAAGTTGTCGACGAACTTCATCCATAATTGTCATGAGTGTGATTGATTCTGAGTGGGGAAACAGTGGACATTCCAATTGGCCTGAAACAAAAAAAAATAAAAATTTTGACAACAGAAATAATTATTTTCTTACAATAATCAATGAATATATCTGCATTTATATTTAGAATTATTTTATTATTTTGCCTTAAAAGATCTTTGTACTTGAAACTTTCCATGACATTTTGTATTTTTTCAATAATTTCAAACATTATTTGTCGATTTTACAAAGAGAGGAATGATTGCAAAAGTGTTCCCCCTCCCCACTTTTATAGTTGGAAATACACAAAATACATGCTGTGATATTTTTCTTTGTCAATAAAATGTAACAGCTTGTTTTGTCTGACTCAGTCCAGATCTGCCAAGTCAGGCAGTTCACAGCTGGCTTGTCAAACTCTCTACCTTTTTTGGCAGAGATGAACCCAGTCAAGGCTATAGCAAAGGAAAGAATCACATCAGGTGAGGTAGACAAACCCAACCATGTGTATGCGGTGTCTACGGGGAATTTTTGCCCAAGCCTACAGGTTAGGAATCGACTCCCACAAAAAACAGCCTTGTACCATATCCTGCCTTGTGGGGAGGCTAAGATAAATAACCTCAGTCCAGATCTGCCTTAACTACTAGACAGACCTACTGCATTCACTTGTCCAACTTTTCCTTTGTGTACAAACACCAGCTCATAGTTTGTAAATTCTTTTGCTTTCTTACCTGTTTGATTTGCTTCAAGTATATTGTTTGCTTGCATGATTGTTGATGTTTCATCCTTTTTGACCTTTTTTTCTTTTCATTTCAAACTTTATTCTCTTCCTGCATTTTGACAATGGCTTCTAACTCATCATTATTGCAACTTTTAATTTTGATTTGTATTGTCTTCATTATTGTGCTAACATTTGAATATTAAGACTGAAATTCATAAACTTTAATAACATTTCTAAAATCCCTTTCTTTCAAATCTTAATGCATGGTCATTTGAACTTAGTTGGTAGATTTTGTTTAGTGGCCAATCAACTTCTATGGGTTATTTAATGCTGAAATCTAAATATTTTGAATGTAATTGTATGTCTCACTACAGAAAACATACTGCTGGTAAGTTTACTATATATATGTATTGTTGGTAATTTTTCTTTATATAAAAAAAATTGTATTGCTGATATTTTTACTATAAAAAGGTATTTTTATTCTTTCATAGTGTTTTTTTTATTTGGTGAGGTTCACCAAATGCCAGTAGCTGGGACCCTAACAGGTGCTACCACCCCAGGGGAGGGTGGACCTGGACAGTAATTAAGTGGTGGTTCCACACTCCTCAAAAACTCCAATCTCCTGATCAGAGACCTTGCTGCTGAATGTAGTTTATTGTCATACCCAAGACTAACATTTGAACATGGAATTTCAGTAACACTGAAAATACAATCAAATCAATGATACTATAAAGACAGTGTAAATACCTTGTCTGACCTTCAAGGTTAAGAAGAATTCTACTTGATTTGTGGATAGTGATTTTAAAATTACACTTATGGAGTAGAAAAATTCTTTTATGAAAATAGTTATATGCTTTAAGTTCAACCCCTCCCACTCCACGGGAAAGAAAAAACCTGTGTCTTCATCATATGAATATTAAGTAAAGCCTATGGTCTGATTCAAAGCTAAGATAATTAAGGACAAGAGTAAGTAAAAAAATTATCCACCCTTTTGCCATAACATATCTTTCAACAAGACTCCAGATAATTTTTGACTTAACCTCTTATTATTTCTCAATGTTGTCAGAGACTGGTGTTCAATTTTAAGTGAAACAGATTTTAAAAAGAATTTTCTAAGCAGATAGACATAATATTTTCTCATTCCAATATTTTCTTTGTATGGTCTTGTGTTTTGCTAAGACCAGTAGATGTCAATATTGTGCAGTAAATCAAAAAATTCAAAAATTTGATTGATATAATTATTTTTGTTCAAAACTTTAAGGCAGAGCTTAGAAATACATCTGTACAATGACCACAGCCACATCATCAGTGATGGTGCCCTGGGATTATTAGGAGTTTTGGGTTTATCCAACATTAGACTCATTCACTCAAGTCACTCTGCTAAATGGTAATCAAATACCAACATGTGTCCATGCTATGAGCCATCCAAAATATCAATTGCAGAATGCAAATAGCCTTTAAAAGATATTAGTGTGCCAAAAATCATCTGACCTTCCTTTTTTCTATGTACTCCCATTTCCTTCAGACACCTTGTTGTCCTAGCAGAACTATTTCACCTAGCCTTAATTCTTCCTTGCCTGGTAATTTTTGATAATATCAAGAATACTTTTAAGTCTCTAGAGGGAGAAAATGTTTCATAAGAGTGAAGAATGCATGTGAATGAATTTGTGATACCTATTCTACCCATTTGGTACATTTAAGAAAATAAAAATCTCCAACAAGAAACATCACAGATTCTACCTCAACAAAAATATTTACTATTTTGTGATTATGAAGTAGTTCTCCAATTTTATGCAAGAACTGACAATAGATATTTTTGATTGATATGATGAATCAATTCTTAGACATTTATTTAATTCAGAAAAAATTTGTAAAGTAATTTAAGTGGTTTGATTGAATATGCAAAGAACAAGAATCAAGAAAAAAAGGAAATTGGAAATGTTGGACAAATTATGTCAACTAAAAAATATATTTAAAAGGTAAGTAAAATAGTAACAAGAACAGTTATCAAATACATAAAGACATCATTGGAGAATCGAGGTGATCATTAAGAAAAAATGGTTCATCAGCCATATTGTCTTTAAATCTGATTTTTAAAATTGTAGAAGACAAGATTTACAATATGAAATTCAAAGGGAATAAAAAAGTATTTTTTGTATTAATCAAGGTGATATTGCTTAAATAAGGTTTGATCAGTCAATGGATAAATTACTTATACTGTAAACAATGCTTCATTTAAAGATTACAAACTTAACCAAGAAGAGAGTTTTTGTTATTATGTGGGTGCTTGGAAGAAAGATTTATTCTCTCATTTATATTTTCCCCATTATAGGCATTATTATATCCATGATATAATAACACCATACTTTACAGACGAATAGAATTATTGAAAGGAAAAGGAATAACAAACATGCTTTGTTCTCAGAGAGACTTTTATACCGTTAAGACATATACAGAACTACATATATACATGTGTCCCAAGCAGAAAACAATATATCATATCTATCTACACAGTAAATCAGAGAGTAAGGAGAAACAAAAAGAAAGTGTCTTACATATAATATGGAGATAATCATTTTTCTGGAGAAGCCATATTTAGGACTCCAGATTCAAACTTGCCAAATTCATCTACAATGTCCTAGAAGAGGACATATTCTGTGAATGGGAAATAGCAAGTCTTGGATTTTCCCAAATTGAGGACTGCGAGCTGGAGTTTCTTTCCATATCTGGGAAGGATATATTCCCAAATGGAAACAGCACCATGGACTTGTAAGCTGCTTGGGAGGCAGACTTCAGTTTGGCTGCTGTAAACAAACTGAATTTGATTGCCACTTTCATTACTGTATGAAGGAACATGACTAAGTGGCTGTCACATGACTTATCTCCACCAAAGAGAGATAATTGCCCTCTGTATTCCTACATTGTTATAGTTTAAGTTAATTTCAAAAATACATTTTCTTTACATATTTTAAAAACTAATTTTCTGCACTTATTGTTCAAACAATATTTTGTTAGATGATTTATTGAAACAAATAAATCCAGTTGAATAAAAGAAAACATTTCTGGTTAAAAGTTTGCTACTAACTGCTCTAATGAAGCAGACACTTATGACCAACTGATCTAATGAACCAGAAGTTTATGACCAACTGTGCTAATGATTTAATTGCAATAGGCTCAGGAAAATTTAACCAAGTCATTGAGGTAATTCTCTTTTCTTTTGGATAACATTTTTTTCCAAGTTTCTCATCTGTGATGACATTCAAATTGAAATAAAATGTGGAAAAAGAACTAATAAAGTTAATTAGTTTTGAAATATTGGATGAGTTGAGGTGTTCTAAAGAAATCAAACATGAATATTAACTTTGAAATAACGTAGTATGACTGCGTATATCCAAGTGAGGCAAAAATGAGGATAAATGATCAATCAGTTACTTTCTCAAATAAAGTAAAAATTTATCTCTAAAAACTCATGAGATTATGTTGTTTATATAAAGACATATCCATCAGTTTTGTGTTGTTTGTTAGGCAAAATAAATTTAGAGGATTGGTTTTTCTCAATACACATGTGATATAAGGAACATTAAATATCCCTACAATTTCAGAAATGGAATGGCCCATTCATCTGGTACCCACTATTATATAGCTGAGGCACTTCCACAATAAGGTACTAACTACCCTTACAGTTACACACTGCTATCTCATGACTCTTGGCAAATTAATGTTAACTTGACAAACGCCCCCCCCCCCGCCAAAGCAATGAAATTTAATAAATGATCTCACCTTTCTCAATGCACTTTCTCACACATTCTGCTTCATAAGAAAGACCAGCACTGTTTACCAAGTTGAATTTGAACTCCCCTGAAGAAAGTGGAAACTCCATTTCTTCTTCATTAATTGTTACTTTTGTAGGACACCAAAATGGATATGGAAGCTGAGTGTATGAAAAAAAAACAAAAAAAAAAACACACACAAAAAAAAATTATTGTTAGAAAATGTAAGAGTAGAAGAAAATTCACAGAAAATGCAAAACCAAATGTTATACATTTATCAAATTTTGTAATAAAATTTTTTTTGAAAACAATCGACTTAATTCCACTCAAAGATTAAAAACAATTTTCAAATTGCCAAAGTGCTATACAAAATATACAAACCTACTCATTACTTCGATATATACATACAATATAAATGCTATCAATAAATATTCCTTTATATACATAAACTCACAAAGAGAAACACTGTTTAATTTTTTGTTAATGCCGAAATACTTTATACCCATTCTCTGGTTATAATCATTTTATAAATATATACATTTATTATAGACAGACATATGCATTTCTTGCATTATTTATTCTTAATATATATTCTATACTAAATATAAAATAAAAATATAAAAGTGTACATTGAGGTCAACAACCAGCAGTGACAGTCTGTTTCATGTTTAAATGAATCTTTAGGCATTGTTCTATACTAAAAATTTTCTTCAATAATAATTTGGAATACTTTTCTTTTTACAGTATTCATCTTAATATTTTAAAATTTCTATCAAACTTATCCTAAAAATACTCCAAATCCTGCAGTACATAAAAATCATTTTCTAAAAATTTATTTATAAGAATATTATTCTAATGACAAGCCTGTAATAACTTCAGATATTAAAAAGAAATACAAAACATTCTGGTTATCACAATTTGCACTTAAAGACAAAAAAATCTCTGTGTCATTTCAGTGTGTTTTATTATTTTATTTTTTAATGTTCTAAGAATTGAGTTTTTGAAGAAAAATTAATTCAAGAGATAAATTCTTATTTTATTGTGATATTTAATATTTATAAGATATGGCTTGAGTGATGTTAATGTTTTTGTTTATGTATTCATAAGATGAAATGGAAGAACCTAGTAATGGTTAACAAATAAGCAAACTATAAACTGGAGTTTGAATGAGATCAATTTTCATACATGTCCTATTATTGCAGCCTTATGCTAGACTAAGCTAAGTTTAGTAAATATCTACTCATTAGATCAAATGGTAGATCAATTTTTGGTTCTCATGAGACAAGGAATTATATTTTATGGAACAAAGTCAAATAATCTATACAGACCTTTTTGCACTGGCTAAGTTTAAAGTATTGCAGAAATGCAAAACAATGTGTATAGTACTGATTGCTTAAATGACAATATAAAAATGAACTTCAGAAATATCTGCAGTCTTTCTGATTTTTTAATTTTTTAAAAATTGGTTAATTTTAAACTTGCATGTCTCTAATCAGTGAGGGGAAAAGAAATTAAATATGGCTAAACTGTAACACTGAGCTGTCGGCCCATGGTCAACATCCAGTCGCGGAGCATAACTGTGATATTTCTACTAGCATTTTGGGGTTGACTCTTAGTTGCTGCCACCAGCCTATGTCCTGGTCAATCAGTGGCCGTCGCTGCCCAGTGGAATCCTTTGGTCAGAGTACCAAACGGGATGGTCAGTTGACCGACGGCTTCACACCAGCTGCAACCGGTTCGACACCAGCTCCATCATTCTCAACTCACTTCCAATGTCTGGTTACCGAAGTACCAGACTACTTCGATCTCAAGTTTAGCTTACCGACATTGTGATTTTGATCTTAGGAAGATGAGATCAATCAGACGTCGGGCCATAGTGTAAGACGAGTCTAGACTGGAGGTGATATCACACAAGCATAAAGAAAAAGAAGCAAATAAAAACCCAAGAGGTTCAAGTATGTTGAAAGAAACAAATTAATTTATCTGTCTGTTATATACAGGAGTGTGGGTTTTTCTCCCAACCCGTTTTCTTCGGAGAGTGACACTTATGCTTCTTAGGCAAGTTCTGGTCTTCTAAGTCAACTTGTTTAGTTTTTAAGTGCTAGCTTAGCTTCGTTTGTCAGTATAACTTGCTATTGGTAGGAAAGGCGAATCATGGAATCTGTCATCAGCTTCTGTGAAGCAAAGCTCTGGTTCCTGCTACTTGAACTGAACTCCAACTCGAGCTGGCTGCTACTACTACTACTATTGGCAAACTTCCCGAGGACAATCGCTTATATGGACATCGACTGAAAACCAGTGTGGGGTTAGGCGCAGCCTGGGGTTTTCGGTAAATCCCGATTTCTGACAAGGGATTGATTAATTTCCATTTTGGGTAAAATTAATTACTTTCCATTTTTTAGGGGGATTGCAGTATAGCTATTCTCCTAATCTCCCTACTTCTCACATTGGTACCTCATACCAATTCCCTTCAGTGGGTGTTAATAACTACCCGTCTTTCTCATCAAGTTACCTCCGCCTATCACCATTGCTACCACTCGACCAATAGCATGCCGGCCATGTGGGCATAGCTAAATTGGCCTCATAAAAATTATAACCTAGAATTTTTTGTTTACAAAATTCTCACTGGCTAAAATTCTTACAAATAATACATGACCACTTAAAATCTCTAAAATCTTCGATGCTTTTGGTCACTTTGCGTCTTCTTAAGCACTGTCTTTACAAACATCAATCAATTGTCAAAGTCTGCCATCTGGTCCCTTCAGGAAGTTAGTGTCTATGGGAACCCTTGGCTTCTTGAGAAAAAAATAAATTGATAATAAATTTCTTTATCTTCAAATCGGCAATTCTTCCGAGATATTTTCTCATGGCAAAATTCTATAATCAACAATTGGCCACTTAAAGCCATCTCCTCGACGTTTGGTTATTCTGTGTTTTTCTCGAGCAGTACTTTTACACCGTCATCAATTGATTGTCAAAGCCAGCCATATGGTCTCCTTCGTGGAATTAGTGTCTACACGAATCCTTGGCTTCTTTGAGAAAAATAAATAATGGTAATTCTCTGTAAACTGTATCGGCAAAATTTCTCATGCCAAAATTTTTATAATCAACACATGGCCTTGCCAATACTTAAAATGATATCTTGCGAAAAGTAACTTTTTCTTCAAGTAAAAAAAAAAATAATCTTGGTCTACCTTTCAGGATATCTTTGTTTTTTTTTTTAACCCTTCAACATTTTCAGTTTTTTCTTGTTTAATTTTCATATGGATAATTAGTTAATTAATTACCATAGCTAAATAGTGTCACAAAACTATGAATCTGAGTGGAAAATTACAGAGCTCCATATTCTTAGAATAAAAAAAATGTATATACTATGTGAATTAAAACACTTCATTTGCATGAAACAATTACATTATTGGTGACGATAAATCAATATTTTAAAGTATTTTTAATTAAAGAATATTCTGGAAGTTAATTGCTATCTCTAATTTATAGATGGCCTCAGTATTTGTGAAAAGTCAAGTGTTAGTATTTGAAGAATACCTATATTTCTGCATAATAATAACAATGAAAGGAAAACAAAAAATAGGACCCTGCAAATTTAATCTTAAAATTACTGAACATAAGAAATGTGGAAGCAATTTGTATTTTTATAATGATAAATATGGAGATCAATTTAAAAAGATGCAAGATATAAAATCTTACTTGAATCCTGCCTTTTGTCCCACAAATACTGGCAGTACATTCTGATTGAAACTCTGTATTATATGTCAAATTAGCCATTTGTCCTCCTTTATATTTAAAAATAATTGTTGCACTCTGGTCAACTCCTAGTTATAAAAAAGAAGAGAAAAAAAATTAAATTTGAATCTGATGAAATCTGATATAAAGAGAGTTCAGTTTTCATTGGTTATCTCAATCTTATATCCGGTTATACTGAATAAATATCTACAAAAAATGCATGGATATGATATTTAATTAACAGTAAATTTTTGTACATATTCGAATGTTTACGCCATCTCTAACAATTTTTACACATGCTGTAATTAATTGTGGATAATAACGTATGCCTGCATTTATGTTACACAATTCTGAAAAAAAAAAAAAAAAATCTGTTCATCTTATATGTAATATTTTAGAATTTGTATCAGCTAAATTTAACATATATTCAACTTTTATTTGGCTTATATCAACCATAAATAAGAATTTGTATAGTTTACAATATGTTTTAAAACAAGATTCTCACAGTATTTACAGCAATCATATTGATATGTTCATACAAAAAATACAAGAAGTTAGAGAAACAATTTCACACAAGGGGAAACAAAAATTATCAACACTACCCATTGAAAAGAAAAGAGTTTTGTTAGTAAGTTAAACTCTTTGCTACAGTCTTTATTCATCTTTGAAAAAAAAAAAAAACCTCAAACAAAATTCTTATAAATATTATAGAATAAATGTCAAAATTATTTCTTATAGAACTTCCTAAATATGGAAAATCTTTTCAGTTTTGTTTTCATGTTTTTTCCTAGTAGTTGAGAATAAACTGAGTATTCCTGCCATTTTATAATCTGTTGAATTGACTGGTTTCAATTTTCACTTTGAAAATTTCTCATGGCCTTCAACTGACAGTCTTTGGTTGCTAAAAAACACTTGGTACATAACAGTAATCCATCATTCTCAACAGATAGGAAAATTCCAAATAACTATCCTGGATCAATCTCATATTAAACAAAGTAATGGACACCTGAAGATGGCCAGAAGCTATTTGGTTGAAACATTACAACTGAAGATGCGAACAAGAATTTGAATGAAAATGAATAAGTCAAAAGAATATTTATAACATGGATGTCATAAAATATAATGAAGAAAAAAGTACTTACCAGTTTCATGAAGATGACCAACAGCAAAGATTTTATCAGGTTTTTCTTTGAAAGCCAACAGTGCCCACTGAATGGTATAAATACCAATATAAAGTAGACCTCCTCCACCCAATTCACGTTTATTTACATGCTCACAATGAATCATTGGGTGGCAAAATTCAGCTTGAACATAGCGTACCTGAATTATTTTGAATTGCACAGAAATAATCATCTCCAAGTTAACAGGTATAAAAATATTAAATATTTGTTCATTAAGCCTCCAAACAAGTAACAAATAATGACACCAAATAGAAATAAAAAAATATTTAAAAAAAGAAATGAAAATGTGAAATTATCTAGCAAATTCTTATTATAATGAAAAATACTGTAAAATTTACTGCATTCTTTTATCAGTTTTAAGCATTTAAATATGTCTGTTTACTCAACTCACTTTTCCCTTAGATTCACTGAAAATTAATCCATTTAATATCCACTGTTCCATTTTGGGGTTAAAAGAAGAAACATAAAAGTAGAGTATTTTTTATACTTATAATACCATACTAAATTTTTATTTTTTTTTAGAAGTCTAAGTAATACCGTTTCTTTGTTCAGCATTTTTTTTCAGAAACATAATTAATACCAATTTCCTTAGAAAAAAAAACAATCAATACCAAATTTTTATATTAATTTTTTATAATACCAGATTTTATGGCAGGCATTAACAGGTTAATCAAAATAACAATTTTTATCAATAAATCTGAAAAGTTTTTTCCAGCAAAAAAAAAAAAAAAAAAAAAAAGGGGGCAGTATAAAGCATTTGGAGATGAGATTTATTATATTAATGACATTTCAAGAAATAAACAAGTTTCAATGTTTCCATTTTCTACTGGATATATTTCTTCATAATAATGTCTGTCCACTTGTTGAACAAGGAAAGCCACAAAAAAGGTTGTGGTGGATGAGGTTGTTCTCCAACATCCAGTCCTCCAATGATGTCCATTTATAATCATTCATAAATTGTGCAACACACTATGAGGATTCTCAGCATCAGACAGCTTTGATTCAATGACAAAAACCAGTCAAGATGGCTGGAGACTGTGCAACTGTAGCTCTGTTGCTGTGTCTTTTGCTGAATGCCACACTTACTTTGGATCGTCTTCATTAGTCTCTGGTGAGCCCACTCTGCAACAATCCTGCGTCCACACATTTTGTTTCAGTATCCACAGGAATATTGGTGAAGAACTGTTCTGGCTATGCTTGTGAAAGATTAATGTCACCAGTGCCACTGATAAACTCAATTAATTTCAATGACACTCATTGACAAGTATAAAAATGATAAATTTTATTTATGGTATTATGATTGATTAAGATCATGAATACATAAATAAAAGGGATTTGAAGAGGTTTCCCCATATAATGAATTCTAGAGCTGAGAAGAAGAGGTTGACTGGCAGTTTCAGAAATGGCTAAACAGCCCAGAGTCATTCAACTATTTAAATGACAGTAGCTGATTGAGAGAGTTCAAAAAGTGATATACAGAAGAGGTTTTTATCTGATTGAGGTACCATAGTCATCCGTCAAAGAGAGAGAGTTTGATCTGACTACTATTCTTTCGGTGACTGCTTTTATGGAGGTGCAAACTCCAATTGCACTGTTCTGTTTAGCCAATAATAATGTTTCACAAATGGTCTTGTGCCATATGCACCAAAGGAGAGGAAGGAAAGCCCCCAAAAAGCTAATATGATTGGTGGTCCAATCAAAATAATAACTGTGTTTTAAGCATCAGAGGGAAAGACAAGCAACTTCATTCCAGCCCCTCTCTCATTAGTGGGCCAATCAAAACTGTGGCATTGTATTGCTTATATCCACCTTCAGTAGAACATTTTCCATGTTAAGGAATCTCACATTTGACCTCATTATCACAGGTGTCATCATCAGCTCCATCTGACAGTGTGTCAGATCTCTGATTCAAACAAATATGTAAAGATTTATTTTGTGTCATTTATTTCAAGTAATAAATCTGTTATCAAATTAAAACAACATTAAAGTTCAATAGACTTAAGACTCTACTTAATGACCAATCCCACCAAAGCTTATGCTTTGATCGCTCACACTATATTCCAAAAGTGTGATAATTCATGATTTTACATAGTTTTAACATGAAAAATATTTTTCCTTCCTTAAAAACAAAAATTAGATCACCAGTCAACCTTTGACACCAGTCATGGTATAATACAACATATGATTTGAGTAGTCAGATGGTAAGAGACTAGTGGAGTCATTGATATCCAGATAATATCACTATGATATGACTGTTGATATTGCTTACTGGATTGGTGGTTCCTAAATGCCCCACTCCCCCATCTAAGTAGTGACCAGACTTGATATTGCTTAACCCTGGTGATCAAATGAGAACTCTTGCCTTCAGTGTGATTTGACCATAAGCATTATATTTCTATTGTTGATTATCTGATTTTATGACATTTCAACCATTTTATGTATTTGAGGGAAAAAAAGAAACTGGAATATTTATATGTACCTCACCAAGAGATTTTGAATCCAGAGCATTGCGTACTTTTTCATAAGCTGGAAAGAATCGAGACCACAGCGCCTATAAGAAAGATATTTAGTTTTTAAGTCAAGAAAACAAAATTTGATCTTTTTATGTTAGAAATTTTGGTAAACAAGGAGTGTAGAATTATTTACCTTGGTTTAGCTGAAGAAACAGACAAGCAGCAGAAAGATAAATAAACTTATATATTAACTTATCCACCAAGCATGGAAAGTGGAAGGAGAACAATCTATCTTGTGGGTGAAATAAAATGTTCAGTTCTAAATTCCAAGAATGTTATTCATTATTCCTGAAGAAGGTAGGAGGGCACAAGTGCCGAAACACTGATTATGAAAACCAAGATGAGAATACAAATCTGAATGGAAAAGCATATATAAAAATTTGATCTATTTAGGAGGAAAGATGGCCTGAAGTGCAGAAGTTCTATTGGGAGTAAATACTTTCAATATTCAACAAGCTTTGAAAACGAGAACTTGATATGCAAATGTCTAAATTTTCAGAAATTTGAAAATCATGAGATTATTAGTGGCAAAAGAATGCAAGAATTAATGCAATCTGAATATAAAAAATTCATGAAATTAAAAATTTAAAATGAAAATTCTGCAAATGAGAAACAGCTAGAATTAAGACAAAGTTTAAAACTAACTTAGGAATTCAAAGAATCAAGTCACAAAATTTCACATAATTAAAAGCTGTAAACATTCTTTAGTTCATTTTTTTTTGTTTGTTTTAAATCAGAATCTTAACAACACAGGATTTAAGATTCACAGAAGTTTTCAAATACAATCATGCAAAGATTAATAAATTATAGAAGATAAAGTTTCCAAAATAGGAAATTCTCATTACTTACAACTTGACAATGTTAAATATTATTTAAAGAAGCAAAAAAAAAAAAAAAAAAGTGAAAGAATTTTCTTAAAACTTATACATACCTCCATAAAGAACAGTTGTTTGTCCTTTGCAACTTTTAAGACTTTTTCTAATTCTTTGAGGTTCAGAGTGGCTGGTTTCTCACAGAGCACATGTTTACCATTGTTAAGCATCAAGATTGATAAACGGCAATGCTCAAAGTTAATGACTCCAATGTAAACAATGTCTAGACACAATAAAATAAATGTGCAAAACATCAGTTAAGAAATTAAAAGAAAAGAAACATTATTCTTGTTTATTACATATGACAAAGCTTTTTAAACATTGACATTATTTATACTAGAAATTTAAAAAAAAAATGAATAAATAAAATCAAATACATTTGTGTCCTTAGGCCTCATTTTCAAAATATATCAAATGGAATCTTCAGAATATTATAAATATTGTAATGTTAGTTTATAATGAGTGGTGGAAGTTATCTTATGACACATTCCCCCCTGACTTATTCTTACAGAGGGAAGAAGTCCCTGAATTGAGCAGGCATTCTTTGCTCTCTGCGAGATCATAATGGATTGCCACGAGCATGATGAGATTCTTCCTCTATCTTGCTAGAACTGGATTTAATCCAGCTGTGTTTTCATAATCTTCAATGAATGGCTTGCTTTGAAGTATCAGTAGGTGGGTGGGCTCTCTTCTGTGAAACCTGTTTGTCACCATTTGAGGGACCAAAGCTCAAGGATTCCTCATAATGTTCATAAGTAGACCATGTTTCTGTTTCTTTGTAGTCAGTTGAAGTGTCAAAAGGACAACCCTCACTTAGGCTTGTAGGTTCTGATTCATCCCCTGCTGGAGCCAAATCCTTTAATGTTACTATGTCTTCTTGTCCATCAGGGTAACGGACACACGCATACTGGTGCTTGGTGTCTAGAAGCTCCACTTCATCCACCAGTGATTCGTTCTTATTCAGTCACGTGTATCTTTTTAGTAATATCACTCCTGATTTTGAGAGCCAAGAGGGTAGGAAACTTCTTCTAGGAAATGGAAGGAATTGTTCATGGGGTGTTGCATTAATGGTGGTGGTGGTGCATAGCAGTGTTCTAATTGCATACAAGACCTCTGGGAGTAGTTGTTCCCAATTCTCTAAAGCTATCACTTAATCAGAAGCTGCTAGTTGAACAATTTTACAAGTTATTCCCTATTTCTTGCACTGGCTATTATCTTGAAAGTTATACGGGGCTGTTCTACTTATGGCTACTCCTTGCTCTTGTAGGAACCACCGTACGCATACAGACATAAATGAAGCCCCCTCTGTCCAAATGAATATATGCAGGTAGCCAAAAGATGGCAAAAACTGAGCAAAGTGCTTGTATGACCATCGTAAAGGATACATCGGGGCAGGGTATTGTGAAAGGAAACCATGAATATTTGTCAGTTGTTGTCCACATATATTTCATATGCATTTTTGATGGAAACAGTCCTTTAAAATACAATGTGATTCTTTCATAAGGTTCTGTGGCTTTTATGACCTTGTTGGTGTTAGGACAGTAAAACCTAGGTTTATTTTCACAGCAAGTCTTATACAATTTGGTGATTTCTTTCACATCTTCTACTGAGTAGGGAAGGTTTTTGATTTTTGCCATGTGGACCATGCATATAACAGCTGGGTGGTACAACTCTCCATGTAGTTTCTTTAACACTTCTTTGCAAGCAGGTGAGCTACATACATAAGAGAGGACATCCACAGCTGCATTTTCTTTACATCAAACAAGTAATACAAGTGTTAAGTGTTCCATTCTCTAATTGGCTACCTTCTCATTTTTAATTTTGCTGGTTGTTTTTGGTTTGAACATGAATTATTTTTGGCCTGTAATTAGTTTAAAATGTTGCCTGATCAAATAATACAACTCGGTGATTTGACAACAGCATAGACTTATTTCTCTATTGCAGAGTGCCTATATTTCAATTTAGACAGGGTTCTAGAGAAAAAGGCTATGGGCCTCTCTGATTGTCTTAAAGAGGCAGCTATGGTGCATTCTAAGGTATCTGTCTCTACTACCAGAAGTAGTGCATGATTGGGTGCAGTAATGGCTGCATTCACTATAACTCTTTACTCGTTAAACATTTTCTTTGCTATAGGAGATAATGGTAAATATGGTACTGTCATTAGTAGATGTAGTGTGTAACGCAACAATTCAACTGATGATAACAGGTAGGCACAAAGAAACAAGGTGTCGCTCCAACCTTCTCCACGAAGCTGAAAGCCCCTCTTGTCTCAAACAGCAAAAAACGAGCCTGCTTTATACAGCAGCGGACCGACCCACGATTTGCATGTGAATGATGAGACAACGAGATTTCGCGTTAACTAATCGAGACCGCCCAGCATAAAACATGGGCGCCATTATTTTGGTTTTCTTTTTACCGTTGGAAGGACCAGAGTTTGCATACTGCGCCAGATTCGAACGTGTTTCCGAGGTAAGCCATTTTCACAATTTTCCCCACAGTAGATTTTGTCTGAAAAAGATGAAATCCAACATGCATAATGTACAAATATTCCTAATGCACGGCACAGAGCAGATAAATCCTTTGGGACTGGTTGGCTGAGTAATGGATTTGAATGTTCTGGATTGGGGTTTTTGTTGTTTTTAAGTATTACGTACCAAAGTAATTTTATGTTTTTACATATAAAGTAACATTTGTTCTGGTTAAGTGTAAGCTTCTAATTTTTCACAGTTGCCATGAATAATTTAAGATTTTTGTAATGTTCCACTTGATTTTTCCCACAAATAGTTACATTTTTGATGTAAGCATAAGTACCTTGTAGATTCTCTTTGAATATTATCTGGTCTATCACTCTTTGAAAACTAGCTACTCAGTTAGAGAATACCGTTTGGTGTTACTATCATATCGTCTATTCTTGGCAGAGGGTAGGCATCCAGCAAAGTAAACTGGTTTATCGTCTGGGAATAGTCAATTACCATTTGTTTTTTTCTGTTCTCAGAGGAGACTATGAAGACTTGGGCTCTCCATAGCAAATGGCTGGGTTCAATTATTCCTTACTTCAGCATATGAATGACTTCAGTTTGGATAAATATTTATTCTTCGGTGTTTTGCCTAGATTTAGTAGCTACCAGTTTACAATCCGGTGTTAAATTGCTGAAGAGAGCATGATAATGTATTCTCATAGCTGCTAGGCTGCAGAATTTAAAGAGTGGCTTAGAGCCTCTGAAGGGTATTTCTACTAATGAATGTTGGTATATTAAGTTGTGCCTAAGTATTTTTATGGAATGAGATGAGTTAGTCATCACCACTTTGTCCAGGCACAGGTAAATTTTCCACAAATTTACTTTTGCAATGTTTGCATTAAGGAAGTTTTCTGTGTTCCCCATGCTTTTAGTGGCTGTCTGTTAGCCATGATTTCTTTCATCGTTGATAAGCAGCCAAGTATATCCAATGATGCAGAACAAGGTAGTTTCACTTTCCTTTTTCTTACTTTTATAAACTTTAGCCCAATGTCATTGTTTTCCACATGTATAGCATTTGTCCTTTCTAGTGGGTCTTATGACCTTATGTGTTTCTTGATCCCACAGAAAACATATGTGTGTTTAGTTAAGACTGATATTTTTAGAGAGCCTAGCATTTCATATTATTGGGAAACAAAAAAAAAATTGACTGGTGTCAAAGGTTGACTGGTGACCTAACTTTTTTTCTAAAGAAAGAAAGATGTTTTTCATGTTAAAAGAATGTGATACCATGAAAGAAAATATCAAACTGGTCTTACTGCTAGAAGTTTAACACTCTTCTTGCCAAATAACCATGGTTCCTCAATCAGTTAAAGACCTCTACACTCCTTTTTGAACTCTCGCAATCAGCTGCCTTTATTTAAATAGTTCAATGACTCTGGGCTGTTTAGTCATAATTGCAACTACCAGTCAACCTCTTCTCAGCTCTAGAATTCATTATATGGGGAAACCTCTTCAAATCCCTTTTGTTTATGTCTTAATCATAGTACCATAAATAAAAATTGTTATTTTTACACTTGTTAAGAAGAATTATCATAGTTAATTAAGTTTACCAGCAACACTATAGACTTAAGTCTTTCACAACCATAGCCAAGACAGTTCTTTACCAATATTCCTGCAGATACTGAAACAAAATATGGTGGGGCACATAACAGGTCCTCTGGAGACAGACCAAAGTAAGAGTGGCATTCATGAAGTACACAGTAACAGGGCAACACTGACAAAGGCAGCAACTGCTTCGGATAAGAAAGTAATTTGGCCCAAATACAGATGACCTAATACCATTCAACCAGAACTGGAACCAGACACACAGACTTACCAGTCAAAATTGTAATTCCGTTATCTGCATGAATTATTTGAAGAATCCCTCATGCTTCAAGAGCTGCAAGTTCTCACATCTCCACCTACTCCATGCTCAAGCACATGCCACGATCACAGATAGTAATATAATGGAGAACTGAACAGCCAGGATCATTACTACAAGTGCTGGTGAAGTGTTATTTGCCTATCACGCCACCTCAACCATCATCACCAAGACAATTACGGATCATCAACATTGTCCATTCAACGAGATGTTATCAAAAGTCATGAAGGCTGTCCAGGCAGTTGAAGCAAACACAATTGAACCCAGTGACCACTGTGCTGCAGTCCTTCAAAAGCATCTCTACTAGTGTTATTTGAAATCAGGCATCTTCATCTTGATGATCAGAGATGGTCAAAACACGCCTAAACTGGTCATACCTTACAATCTCCATGCCAGATATCTATCAAGTTCCTGACTGCATAATTCACTCTGGTGTCACCTGTAATGTGTGAAAATATCTTCCCAGGAACTTGTGGGAGTTCAAGGACCACGACATAAAGGCTTACATTTCTGCATCATTCGCACAAAACACAAGGAAAACAATGGTGAAACTAACTAGGCCCATTGCACTCATGTCCGTCACCTTGTACAGTGACCAAATCATCTTCAACACACAAACTTTTCCCCCTCCTCTGCATTTACAGAATCTTCACCTAGTATTGAGGATGTTGCCTCCACTTCCGCCTGGAGAGTATATAATGACACATGATTCTAGATCTGGTGAAACTATTCAAATACTACCCAAAACAAATTACAAAGCACAAACAATTCCAAACAGGCTTTAAAGACTTCATCATGCAATAATATTAACAGTATAAACACATCAAATCAACATAAATACATCCATCCTTTCTGCTCATATCCACTCACTACCCATGAATCAGTTTGAGATCTTGGAGAGCTGTTATACTCTGCTTCACACTAGATCTCTTTCAAAGTCACTCTACATCAAAACCTGTTGGTTGAATTTGAATATTAGAAAGAAAAATAAAAAAAAATATTTTCTCTGCCCAGGGCCTCTGAGCATCATATACAAAACAAATCCCTTCAAAGTAAATACTCAAAGCATATTAAAAAAAAAAAAATCTTAAATTTAAAATTCTCAATGGCCCCTCTCCTTCATGTGCATCTGTAATTGTATCAACGTAAACATCATTTTTGTTCAATGAAGTTCTGAAGGACAAAACAGGTCACACAAAAATGTTTCACTTTATCAGTTTTTTCCCAAAAGATTAATACTGTTAAAGATAGAAAACAAATTGTATATGCAGTAATAAAAATCTAATTACAAAAAAACAAAAAGAAACAACATTTACCAACAGTAGGTTCTTTGGCCAAATCATCATAGCATCCAAAAGCTTTTGGTATTTTAAATTTCTCAGCAAATTTTTGGGCTCTATCAATATCTCTGGCAGCAACAGCTGTAATCTAAAGAAAAACACCTTAGTATCTTTTTATATTTTAATTCTTGAGAATGAATGTAAAATCTCAAAAGGTAATACTTAATACCTAATAGTTTCTACTTTTATGTAATTTCTTTAACTTACACAAGCAAACTTAATTGTTTTATTGTTACATACTATTATGATAATTTGAGAACACTCAGTAATTTGCAATATATCCTTACATCTTAGCTTTTTATTTGTTATAAAGAACCTCAGTAAATGATCCCTTGGATAGTGTTATATCTTATATATACCTTCAATTTTAATATATTGCTTTTATTTTTTTTATTTTCTTACCCATTTCATGTCATAAAATATTTAATTGTAACCAATATGGTTTCTTTAAAATTCTTCCGAATTAAAGGGTTATTGAATTATCATATATCATGAGTAGAGTATTATCTCTATATTAATGTGCTTGTACCGATGGTGTGTTTGATGTGAGACAGAAACTGTGTTGAATGTCTAAAAGGGAAACAGAAAGAGAGGGGAATATAGAGAGTCAAACAGAAAAAAAAAAGAGAGAGGGACATAGAAACAAAAAGAGAAAGCAACACAGAGAGGGATTGGAGGGGTGTCATCTTAGATCAGTGGTTTTCATCCAGGGTTCCGCGGAACCCTAACATTCCACCAGTAAAGCCCAGGGGTTCTGCAAGTTACACAAGTACTATGATTGACAGTAATTTTTTTAATTGTCCTGTGCAGATATGTGTGTTTAGGTACCTCCACTAAATCAATAACAAAACAGCATAGTATGAATAAATAATTTTTACAGTTTGTCTTTGTATTTTTAAAAAATAAATCTGAAGATGAGTATTTTTATTTTATTTTAATAATTGAAAGCTTTTTTTTGCATAACACAATTTATTGCAGGGGTTCCCTGAGCCACTGGGATGTTTCCTTGTGGTTCCACTCCAGCAAAAAGGTTGAAAACCACTGTCTTAGATAATAGTAGTTGTTTACAGTGAAGGATTACATCAGGTTTTGTGACCTAATGGTCTGTTGAGTTTATTTAAGTATTTTTAAGTGAAACTGTCACTGTTCTTATAACTATCTAGGAATGGTCATCGGTACCAAGTGCAGCATTAATAAATTTATCAGTAAATCCAGATCCTGTTGGTTTAGAATTATTTCCTTTTTCTACAAATAAGAACAAAATAGAATTCTTTTAAAAATGGTTCACACTCCAAAATAACATTAAACTTTACATTTTTTGATTCTTCAAACATATCGTTAATTAAAAAAAAAAAAAAAAAAAACTATTGGAAACCACAGTACGAGTTTCAAAATCACACTAAAAATCATTTTAAAAGTCATTTTAAAAGAAAATAAATATTAACGGTAGATGATGTTTTTTCTGTCCAATCTGAAAGAAAATAACATTTTATTAAATTATGCAAACATTAACTTAAATTTTTTTTTTATTAAATTATTTTTGTTGAGGTTCCGGATGAATTTTCAGTATATTCACATTTGATAATGCATGTTTTTACTGAAATAACATCTTGAGAGAGTTTTCCTTAGATAACTGTAGGCACATCAAAAAGAAAAAGTGATTAAGGTTTAAAATCCATTTTAAAAAATTTATTAATTTGTATCAGTTAAGTAACAGTGGTCTTAAATTAAGATTATGTTTTTATCATAAATCTCACTACAATTCAATGAGTATCAGTATTTTAAAAAGAATTTTGAATTTATTTTCTGTGTATGAGTGTTATATGGATGTCTATACATGACATTATCAGAAAATAACTAAGTAAAGCAAATTTAAATTTATTGGTAATTTTCTAATATTTCCTCAACAAGCTTTTTTGTAAACAAGGCTATGAAATCAAAATAACAAATAAAAGCAATATATTAAAATTTAGTGCCTGAAATTCAATAAAATATATTGCTTAGAATATTTTCTTAAATTTTAAAGATAACTAAAGTAGTTAAAAAAATATTAAAATAAAGAAATTCATGTTGAATTTGTCAAGTAATTTTTAGTTATGTAGCCATTAAATTTCCCAAACATCAGACTGAATGATCTATTAACACATAAAAACACCCACTCCATGTAAAAAAAAATAAAAAAAAAATGTTTTTCTGTGATATTTTAAACTAAAGTAATTTTTTTTCAATTCAAATTAATTGAACTTTAAATCTGCTAATTTTTTCCCAAATAACATTTCAAAAAAAGTATATTTTATTTTTGATTTTTTTTTTAATACAGAGAATTATATTGCGTTGACAGATTCATCAATATGGATGATTTTATAGATTTTACTGACAATCATTTGGTAAAATGTATTTTAAATCTTAGGTATCGCTTTTTCTTTAGGCAGTACCATCATAGAAATGATTACCTGGCTCTACCATAAAAAAGTTTAAGTGAAATCATACCACCTTACCAATCTTTTTTCCCAATTTTATAAAATTTCTTTTGGATATCAAATGACTGCAGGAACTTGAAGCAAATCCATCAAATATGGCTCAGCATAAATTCAAAACTGATATATTATTTTAGAGCCTATAATAAAAGTTTATTTGCAACTAATGTCTTCTAATTCAGACTTCAAAAAGATAAGAAAAACTGGTTTGATCCAATTAACTCATTCATCTCTCAAACACTGTGAAACATGTGCGTATGCATGCACACACAGAGGCCATCCAATCAGGGAGAGTCAACTGTTCAACCCCCAAACTAACAAGACTGGTGGAAGCTTAATTTATTTGGAATCAAATAATGAATTATCAACTTTATCACTTTAATACCTAAGCTATTCTACCTAATATATTATCAAATCTTTCTGTTACCCTCAATGTCGTAACTGAATAAAAAATTCTATGGCACACAGCCAGTCAGTTAAATGCCATCTGTGATAGAGACCTGAACGATCACCTCTCTCTCAATTCCTGACTAACTAGACAGATTTTCTCACAGTAAGTCACTATTTATTTCTATGGTAGATGGTTGCTAACCAAGGATATAGGAACCAGTCTGTCCTGCTATTCAACCAATAGCTAGGGAGAGGAGAGAAGGGTTCATACCTTGTGCACAAGTTGAAGTAATCAACCCAACTGGAATTTGAACTCAGCTCTCTGATTTCTCATTCTGATCAGTTATCCATTACAGCACACCTCTATTTTCATGTGTGTCTTGCTGCGGTGTTAGAGATAGAATCATAGCTTCTATTAATTCATCTCTGAAAGATGTTTCCTTAAACTTGGGTAGCATGATGGACTTCCTAAAAACATATTTTAACTAATTTAATAATGCCTTTGAAGTTAAAACAATTTAAAAAAAAAAGCCTAAAGTCTAAAGACAAATTAATTTCTATATATACAAGGGTGGGTTGAAAAGTTCATAGGATGACCATGAGAGAATGATGCTGGAGCTATGAAATCTTCCATGCATTAATGTGGGGAATTCTTCTCAGTTGAGTGTGTGTTTGTGCTTGGCAGTGAGAGAGGAATGAACAAAACCGAAAACTTGAAATAATTGTTCAACAGCTTTTATTTCTGGTTTAAAGCGAGTGCAAAATAATATTATTTTGTAGAAAAAAAGTGGGATTTCCAAGTTAATAAAGTTTTTGAGAAGTTGTTTTTGCTGAAATTTCTTTACCAGAGGTTATACTGCAATTATATTGCAATTTCATATTTTCCAGTGATGCTCTGTCTTATTTTAACCTCATCCCACAGGGGGCAGGGATTTCCCTGTTCCCTCCATATGTGGTCAGCTAAGCATGATTTTTCTATTTCCCTCTCTTTTTACCACTTTATAATGTTCTTGTCTTACCTTAAGAGGGCAGCCTGTTTCTCCTCCATATTTTTTTTTTACCACAGCTGCACAGGATGGTGTACACACAGTCCTTAGTCATGTTCTCCTCTATGAGGGGTCTAATATTAAAATGTAAGGAATCAGCACATATGCTAGGCCACAAAAATCTCCTGAGCTGACCAAGAATAGAAATGAATACAATATGGGAACCAGTAGTAAGGAGTGCTAGAGAAAAGCAATGAATAACAACAAAAATTGCAATATAAGCTCTGGTAAAAAAATGCAATAATACTAACAAAAACTTGCAATATGAGCACTGGCAAAAAAAATGTTTGCCGAGACATAAGGTTTATAAGTCCCAAAAATTCATACACAGATGTCCTCAGATGACCCAGTAGATAAAGATATTGGTTAGATCCAGTGACTAGACACAAAGCACAGCAGTGGTGAACCAAAACTTGGAGAGTTCAGTTAAAGGGAAATAACTGACATAACCAGAAGAGGCAAGGCACATGGAACTAGAACAATCTACCCTGGTGGATGAAATAAAGGGGGCAGTTTGAAATTCCAATCACCTGAAGAAGGCCAGAGCATACAACGACTGAAACATGAATATGACAATGAAGATGAGGTTAACATAAGAATGTAAATAATACAAGTAGTAATCATAATACCTCATCTCAGAGATATAGACAGATAGAACTCTGTTAGTGTTTTTATGATTATTTCTGTTGCTGCTGAATCTATCAAACACAAGTAGCCAACAGGAGAATTACTATATTAATTTCAACTCTTTAACTACATTATCTACTATTGAGGTTTGAACAGTTAGATATCAGTTTACCTGTAAAGAAACAATGTAGTTATTAAGTAGAGTTGAAATCATGCATGCATTAATAATTATTGATTTCACTGCTTGAGTATCACTCTTTCATAGTCAGACTATGAACTTTTCAGCTCATTCTCGTAAATAAACTTTCTTCTTAGCCATTTTTAAAAACATTGACATGTTTTTTTGTCACTCATTGTGCTGCCATTTTATACAAAAAAATATAAACAAAGATTTTTCAAAATTCTTTTTAAAAACCAATATTTGTCCTAGTGATGTGTTTCAAGATAAATTTTAAGTTAATTTAAGACTGCATTTAAAAAAAAAAAAAAAATCTTTTATTCTAATGAAATTTATTATTTTGACCTTTTTATGGAAGTACATCATATTT